CCCTACCTTAAAAAGTAGCCGGCAAGGGAAACTATTGTTAATATATACTCCCTCGTTTATCCTATCTAGTGAATTTTTCCCCTAAACCCCCCAAATACCAAAGACTTTAGTCAAGGAGTAAAAGGGGGAATAGGGGGGGAAAAAAATTTTTTAACATATGGAAGTCGCGTAAGGCAAAAAAATCTTCTACGATTTGTCAAAAATTAACCAGTCAGAGAAAAAAATTGGATAAAAACCATTAAATAACAATATGGAACTTAAAAGTCGGGAATGCCAATGTCCCCCCTAAAGAGGCGACGGGTTGGTTCCCTTAAAATTTTTTTTAAGTATACAAAGGTTTTTTGGGCCTTTTCAAAAATTTGGAATTCTTTTCCCGAAAAATTAAAATTTAAGTTTGGGGTTTCCCCCCACAAAAGGGGCCAAACATTCCTTTTCTATGGTGGGTATCTCTTTTTCTGGGGGGAGGGGGTTTCCGGCTTAGAAAGCATCGGGGAAAGGGGATTTCCATCAGGGGATTGTATTTAACACGCCCCTTTAAGCCATTTTTGGGAAAGGGGCACCCAGTTCTTAAAAAAAAATTTTTTATTAAATTGGAATTTTTAAGTTGGGGTTTTTCCCAAAAAAGTTTACTTTTAATTCATTAAATTTTTCCCGAGCTAGGGTCGGAAAGTTCAAGGGGGGGTTCCCTTTTTCACAAAATTTTTAAGGGAAAAGTCGGAAAAGATCCCTGTAAGCAGAAAGGGGTTGGGGGAAAAAACCGTGCAAAAAAATTTACAAAACCCAAAAAAAGTACGCATGAGTTTTTGGGTTTTGGGGAATTTAAATTCAAATAAAGCTTTGATCTTATGGGGAGGGCTGCAGAGGGGTTATTAGAAGGTTTTGAAAAAGGTAGAAAATTTAAAATGAACATAGAAAAGGTAAGGTGTTGAGGGTGTCAAATGATTTGGGAAAAACAAAAAAATTGGGATATCAAAATTGGGGGGGAGGAGTAGGGAAAGGGGAAGGGGAAGGGGTTTTCAGATATTTGGGATTTGGGAGGGTTTTTTTTGGGGGGGATGGATTTATGAAGGTTTGGGGTTTAAACCCTTAGAATTGTGAGGGAAAAAAAAAAGGTGAGTGGTGCGTTGGGTTTTTGGGGAAAAAAATTTTTGGGGCAAAAAAGGGGTTTAAAAAATTTTTGTACCAAAATTTTTGGGGGGGGGTTTTTTGGGGGCAGGAGGGGGGGGGGGGGGGTTTTTTGGGCTTTGGGTTTTTTTAAAAAAAATTTTTTTTGGGGGGGGGAAAAAAGGGGGGGAAAAAGGGGGGGAATAAAAAGGGAAAAGGGGGGAAGGGGGTTTTTTTAAAGGGGGGAAAAAAGGGGGGCAAGGAAAAAAAAAAAAAAAGGGGGGGGGGGGAAAAATTTAAAAAGGGGGGGGAAAGGGGGTTTGGGGTTTTGGGGGACCGGAAGGGGGGCGTGGGAAGGGGAAGGAGGGGGGGGGGGGGGAAAAAAAAAAGGGGGGGGGGGGTTTTTGGGGGGGGAAAAAAATTTTTTTGGGGAAAGGGGGTTTTTTTTTCCTTTCCGGGGGGAAAAAGGGGTTTTAAAGGGGGGGAAAAAAAGGGGGGGGGGGTTTTTGGGGTTTTTTTTTTTTTCCCTTTTTTTTTTTCCCCCAAAAAAAAAAAAAAAAAGGGGGGGGGTGGGGAAATTTTGAAAGTTTTTTTTTGGGGAAATTTTTTTTTTTTTTTCCTTTTTTTTTGGGGGGCCCCCCTTGGTTAAAAAAAAAAAAAAAAAAAAAAAAAAAAAAAAATTTGTTTTAAAAAATTTTTTTCCCGGAAAACCGGGGGAAAAGGGGAAAAAAAGGAAAAAAAAATTTTTTTGGGTTTTCCCGGGGGTTTAAAAAAAAAATTTAAAAAAAAAACCCCAAAAATTTTTTTTCCCCCCCAGGGCATTTTAAAAAAAAAAGGGGAAAAAAGGGAAATTCCCTTTTTGGGGGGGGGGGGGGGGAAAAAAAAAAAAAATTTTTGGGTTTTTTTTTAAAAAAAAAAAAAATTTTAAAAAATTTTTTTTAAAAAACCCCCCCCCCCCAAAATTTTGGGTTTTTGGCCTTTTAAGTTTTTTTTTCCCCCCAAAAGGGGGAAAAAAAGGAAAAAATTCCTTTTTTTTTTTTTTTTTTTTCCAAACAAAAAAATTTAAAGGGGTTTTTTTTTGGGTAGGATTGTCAGTAAAAAATTTTTTTTTTTCCCCCTTTGGGGGGGTTTGGGGGAAAATTTTTTTTTTTAAAAAAAAAAATTTTTTTTTTTTAAATTAAAAATTTTTTTTTTTTTTTTTTTTTTTTAAAAATTTTCCCCCCCCAAAATTTTAAAAAATTTTTTTAAAAAAAAAAAATTTTTTTTTTTAAAAACCCCCAAAAATTTTAAAAATTTTTTTTCCCTTTAAAAAACCCCCCCCAAAAAAATAAATTTTTAAAACCCCCCCCCCCTTTGGGGGGGCCCCCCCCCCCCCTTTTTTTTAAATTGGAAAAAAACCCCCCCCCTTTTAAAAAAAAATTTTTTGGGGTTTTTTTGGGGGGGGGAAGTTTAGTTTTTCCCCCGGGAAAAAAAAAATTTTTAATTTTGGTTTTTTTCGTTTTTAAAAAAGTTTAAAAAAAGGGGTTAAGGGGTTTTTTTTTTTTTTGTTAAAGGGGGGGTTTTCCCCCCAATTTTTTTAAACCTTTTTTTTTAAAAAAAAGGAAAGGGGGGAACCCTTTTGGGGTTTTTTTTTAAAAAATTTTTTTTTTTTCCCCCCCCTTTTTTTTGCGGGTTTCTTTTAAAAAAGGGGGGAAAAAAAAAATTTTTCCCCCCCTTTGGGGAAAAATTTAAAAATTTTTTATTTTTTTAAAAAAAATTTTTTTTTTTTTGTTAAAAAAAAGGGTTTAAAACCCCCTTTTTTTTTCTTTGGGTTTTTTCCCCAAAATTTTTTAAATTTTTTTCCCTTTTTTTAAAAAAATTTTTTAAAAAAAAAAAAACCCCCAAAAAACCCCCCTTTGAAATTTTAACCCCCCCTTTTTTTTAAAATTTAAAGGTTTTAAAATTTTGGGGCCCCCAAAAAAAAAAGGGGGGGGGGTTAAAAAAAACCCCCCCAAAAAAAAACCCCCCGGGAAAAAAATTTTTGGAAGGGGGTTTTTTAAAAAAAACCAAAAAAAAGGTTTTCCCCCCCCCTTTGGGGGGGGGGGGGGGAAAAAAAAAAAATTTTTTTTAAAAAAGTTTCCCGGGGAAAAAAAAAAACCCCCCCCAAAAAAAAAAAAATTTGGGAAAAAGGGGGCCCCCAAAAAGGGGGGGAAGGTTTTTTAATTTTTTTTAAAAAACCCCCGGGGGGTTTAAAAAAAAAAAACCCCCCCTTTAAAGGGGGAAAAAAAAATTTTGGGGGAAAAGGGTTTTTTTAAAAAATTTTTTTCCCCCCTTAAAAGGGGTTTTTTAAAAAATTTTTGGGAAAATTTTTTTTTTAAAAAGGTTTTGGCCCTTTCCCCCCGGGGGGGGGGGGGAAATTTTTTAAATTTCCCCTTTTTTTTGGAATTAAAAGGGAATTTTTTCCCTTTTTTTTTTTTTTTTTTTTCCCTTTTAAAAATTTTTTAAAAAGGGGGTTTTTTTTAAAAATTTTTTTTAAATTTGGGCCAATTTGGGGAAAAAAACCAAATTTTTTTTTAAAAGGAATTTTTTTAAAAAATTTTTTTTAAAAATTTTTTTGGAAAGGGTTTTTTTTTTTTTTGGGGGTTTTTTTTGGGGGGGGTTTTTTTTTCCAAAAAAAAGGGTTTTTTTTTTCCCCCAATCAAAAAAATTCCCTTTCCCGGGTTTTTTTTACCCAAAAAAATTTTTTTTAAATTTTTCCCATTTTAAACTTTTAAAAAAAAGGGGGGGAAAAAGGTTTTTTCCCCCTTTTTGGGCAAGGGGGAAATTTAAGGGTTTTCCCCCCCAAAAAAAAAATTTTTTCCCTTTTGGGGGGAAAAAAAAAAAAGGGGGGGGGGTTTTCAAAAATTTTTTTTTAAAATTTGGGGGGGTTCCCCTTTGGAAAAAATTTTTAAAAAAAAAAAAAAAAAAAAAAATTTTTTTTTAAAAAAAAAAAAAAAAAAAATTTTTTTTTTAAAAAACCCCCCTGGGGGGGCCCTTTTAAAAAAAAAAAATTTTTTTTTTTGGGGGAATTTCCTTTTTTAAAAAAAAAAAATTTTAAAAAATTTTTTTATTTGGGGGCCCCCTTTTTTTTAAAAGGGGCCCCCCAATTTTGGCCAATTTTTAAAAAACCAAAAAAACCAAAAATTTTGGAAAATTTAAAAACAAAAAAAAACCCCCCAAATTTTTTTTTTGGGGGTTAAAATTTTTTTTCCTTTTTTAAAAAATTTAAAAATTTTTTTAAAAAATTTAAAAATTTTTTTAAAAAAAGGATTTTTAAAAATTTTTTTTTTTTGGGGGAAAAAATTTTTTTTTTTTTTTTTTAAAAAAAATTTTTTTTGGGTTTTTAAAACCCTTTTTTTTTGGGGGAAAATTTTTTTTTTTCCCCAAAAAAAAAATTTTTTGGTTTTTTTCCCCCAAAAAAAAAAGGGGGGGAAAAATAAAATTTTTACTTAACCCCCAAAAATTTTTTAAAAAAAAAAAAAAAATTTTTTTTTTTAAAACCCCTTTTTTTTTTTTTAAAAAAAAAAAAAAAAAAAATTCTTTTCAAAAAACCCCCAAAAACCTTTTAAAAAAAAAGGGGGGGGAAATTTTTTTTTTAAAAACCCCTTGGTTTTTTTTAAGGGCCCCCAAATAAAATTTGGGAAAAACCCAAAAGTTTTTTTGGGGGTCCTTTAAAAAATTTTAACCCCAAAAACCCCTTTTAAAAAAAAGGGGGGAAAAAATTTTTTTTTCCCCCTTTTGGGTTTCTAAAAATTTTTTTTTTTAAATTTTTTTAAAAAAACCCCCAAAAAAAAAAAAAATTTTTTTTCCTTTTTTTAAAAAAATTAAATTTTTCCCCCCGGGGAAATTTTGGCTTTTGGGTTTTTAAAAAAAACCCGGAAAAAAATTTTTTTTTAATGGGCCCCCTTTTTTAAAATTTTTTTTGGGGGAAAAAGGGGGGGGAAAAAAAAGGGGGGGAAAAAATTTTTTCCCCCCCCTTTTTCCCTTTCCCAAAAAATTTTTTAAAGGGGAAAATTTAAATTTTT